TTACATTGTGTCGTAATTTAAGTCAGAATTCTTATAAATGAGGTATTGTCGGTCTGTGACACTGGCTAGGATGTTAAAAACGGACAAAGGACTATCAAACCAGGCTTGGAAATGTGAAGAGGGAGCTTCTTAGCGTGCATGATGAACTTGAGAAGAAAAACAAAAAAATTGGGGTGCGAATTTATACACTGATGAGAAGATATTGCGGATTAATATTAAATAAAACTGGAATTGCTTCTGTTGAGCTTTATGGACTGAACTGGAAAAGAAATATGGGAAACTAAGATTTTGGAGGTAACTGTGACAAGATTATTGTATGCACAAAGAGGGATGAATAATGAAATCTCCACAGTGGAAGAGCGGATTATAAAACTGCAAAGCTAAGCAGTTTGATCAGGGTAAAAATGATACAAGACTTTTTTTTTTTTTTGAAAGACTGGAAACCTTTTTGGACTTTTTATGGAAAGAAGAAAAGGCTGTTTTTAATGTGTTTTTCTTGGTTTCACGTTGTGTTTTTAAGTTTTTTTAAAAAAAATATTATTTGTATCTCATTCTCCTAATGCTGGTCTCTGAACCATAATAAAGGTTTGATTTTAAAGGGAAAAATTAAGATGGCAATTACTCAACCGAAAGAAGGATGGAAGTCATAACTTCATGTTTTCCTTCTTTTTTCCGTTTTTTTTTCTATTTTCCATTTTTTATTGTATTAGAAGATAGAAAATAGAATCCCAGGGCTGGGAAGGACCTTGGAGGACTTCTAGTCCAATGTCCTGCTCAAGGCAAGAGACCTATTGAAAAATCCTAATAAAAATAATAATAATAAAAATAATTCTACACTCAAAAGTTGTATTCCCAAATCCCAAGAGAGAGAGAGAGACTAGCAAACCAACTCTGAAAACTTGGAAAACTAAGCAAAAACCCTCCCAATTCGGACTTCGGCAAGAATGGCATTAAACACGGGGCCTGTCACTCACGGGGAATAAGGGTGAGTCCGGGGCGCGATTGACCGCTGGGTCCCACTCTGCAGCACCTCCTGGGGTGACATCATGACGAAAAACTGCCCTGTTCGAAGCAGGAGAGAGAAAGGCTTTGGGTTGACAAAACACTCCAAAATGAATTACTAATTGCAACTGTGGACGCAGAACATGCTATGTTCAAACTGCAGGTAGTCCTCGACTTACAAGAGTTCATTTAGTGACCGTTCAAAGTTACAACAGCACTGACAAAAATGGCTTGTGACTGTTTTTCACACTTACGACTGTTTATTTATTTATTTATTTATTTTCATTAACTTATATGCCGCCCTTCTCCCCATGGGACTCAGGGCGGCTCACAGCATGTTAAAACAATATAAAACATTATCCCCTATAAAAGCCAATTAAAAACCAAATATTTATCACTGTGTCTTATTAAAATCATTAAAATTGTCCCTATTTAAAATTCACCCTAGGTCAGACCCGC